TGCATCCGATTCTAGTAAGAGGAGACACCATCCAAAGATCAGACCCGGAGACCAGGGCGCCAAGTGGAAAAGGAGACTGGCGCTTGCCAGCAAGTCCGTTCCGACTCGTGGTGGCCCTACAGGACAGGCCCGAACTGCCCCTGTGGGTTTCGGAGACTACATCTTCAAGAGAGTAGAAAGCCTCCTCTTTCTCCCTTGGAGCAGCTGGGGGTTTTGAACTGCCGACCCTGTGGTTAGCAGGCCAAGGTATAATCCACGATACCACCAGGAGTCCCTTACAGGGAAGGACAGGCAACAGCTTTTCCACGTCCAATGTGCTGGAGTCGAGCCAACGTGGCCCAGGCACAGCCCCCCTGTGAGAGAAAGCTGTGGTGGTGTACGTCTGTAAAGATCGCAGCCTCGGAAACCCTGCGGGCCATTCTCTGCCCTATGGGGTCACAATGACTTGCAATGGACTCCACAGCGGCGGGTGGGCTTGGGTAGGACTTGGAGTGAAACCAGCCTTTCACATCGACAGTCGTGTGACTAGAGGGGAATTACTGTGCTTTTGTGAACCTCACTCAGTCTCCCGATCAGGGTTATTATAAAAGATAAATGGGATCCCCCAAATTCTGTTATCTTTCCAATCCATCCCCCCCCCCCCCCCCGGGAACTTTCTAGGCACAGTGCCCAGGACAACGGCTTAGCAAACCCAAAGCAAGCTAAACAGTGCTGACTCATAGCAACCTTAGAGAACTGCCCTGGGGGGTTCTGAGTCAGCAGCTTTATAGGAGTAGAAAGCCCCATCTTTCTCCCGAAGGTGGCTGCTGCCCTTGTGCCGCACAGCCCAAACCCTCACCACGCCACCAGCAGGGGCCCTTGGATAGTGGCTAGCCTACAAGAAAACCAATCCATATTGTTGAGTCCATTCCAACAGCGACCTCGGACAGACTAGCACTGCCCCAGAGAGTTTCCAAGACCGCAGTCTCTGGGAGCGGACTGCCCCGTCTTTCTCCTGGGGTGTGTCTGGTGGGTTTGACCCTCGACTTTTCACTCAGCAGCTGAGCATGTAACCAGCAGGGTTCCCTGGCCGGGATGTAGGTAGACAGTAAGCTCTACACAGTTCTTGGCCGCTGGGGCACAGCTAAGGACTGGCATAGTGCTGTGGATAAAGGCGTGACTCCGCTCCAGTTAGCACGTGCTCACTTGCATCTCTAAGCGATTTCAGTTAGGCAGCCCTCATGGGGGCCTGAGCCGGTGCCACACGGGGAGGGCTGGAGAACTTGCCAGTGCCCTATCACAAACACTGCTCCCTTTTCTCTGACTGCCCCTTGGAGCAAATGAGAAGTGTCCACAGGGCCTGGAGGCTGCCCACTGCCCCTGCCCAGCCTGCGTTTAGGAAGCAGGCCTTCGGGGCTTTCACCAGGACTAGAAGCTGACTTGGGATCAGCATTTTCATCCAATAAAGCGAGGAAACAAATCTAATGTGTATCCTTCCCTCACTGTTAATACTCCTTTACGACCATGTAGACCTCGGGTTAAAGATGGCAGAGGGCGTGGGAAGGGCCTCGCCCAGTGAGACGCTGTGGTCAGGTACATTCAGCGTGCTCTGGTGTGAACTGGGACCACCGAGGGGGAGGGGAAAGAGCTGGAGCAGAGACTGAGAGCAGAGAGCTGAGAAATTGGTAACTAATCAGAAATGAGCATTCCCCACACCTTTGACATGCCTTAACACAGAGAGGGGAGCTTGTTCGGCAGAGCCCGTCTTTGCAGAACGCTTCTGGCTCAGAGGAATGACCACAGGGAATCAGTCCTCCTGCTGCCAGTTTCAGTGGTATGTGAGAAATCGGGTCTGCCAGTCTCTCCCTAACCCTGTGGACACACGGGACATTTTTAGACTTTTCAGTGAGGCTAGTAGTTCCACTCCTCTGTTATGTTGCAGAAAGATACACATCACACGCACATTTTCTCTCTGCCATGTTAGTCTCTGCTTCCAGGGCAGCCTGGGACGTTACTGAAGGGAACTCCTTTGTTTTATGTAGGCCACGACCCCCTAGCCCAGGGGTCCTCAAACTTTATTTAAATAGGGGGCCAGCTCACTGTCCCTCAGACCCGTTGGAGGGCTGGACGACAGTTTTATAAAAAAAACTATGAACAAATTCCTATGCACACTGCACATGGCTTATTTTGAAGTGAAAACACACCCGGCGGGCTGGATAAATGTCCTTGGGGGGCCGCATGTGGACCGCCACCGCGGGCCATAGAGGACGCCTGCCCTAGCCTTCACGTATTTGGCTTCTCTCATCTGCGATACCCCATCAATGCCTGTGTGTTGAATCTGAGACGAAGCTTGCGTCCAGAAGGCCTGGAGCTCAGAGTGCTTACCCAGTCCCAGAGGAAGCTGAGGGTTTTCTGACCTGCCTGCTGGAGTGTCATGGCTGGCTGCCATCCCCCCAGGTGGGGTCATCGGAGTGACGCAAGGCTGAGGGGACAGCCACTCACCACCTCGTCATCTTCCACCAGCACCATGTCGTAGGCGCTGAGGGCTGCACAGAATATGATGCAGGTGACCCCCTCGAAGCAGTGGATCCACTTCTTCCTCTCCGACCTCTGTCCTCCCACGTCAAACATCCTGAGGGAAGGAACAGCGCTCTCATAGACACGCCCACCTCTGACCCACAGGGCCTTGGCGCCCACCCAGGGGAGTGACCACCTTGGGGCCAGGGAAGTGGAGAGGGCAGCAGGGAGGGGTTGTGGGTCATTCAGGTTGGGCTTCAAGCAAAGGCCTGAAGCATGTCTGTGTCCCATTTGGGGCTTCCATGTGTGTGTCTAAGCCCCACCACCACCACCGGGGGGGAAGGTGGGAAAACCTTAGATACCTCACCTGAAGTTCAAGTCTTTGACTGAAAACTTGGTCTCAACGATGCCCGTGGTTTTCACTCTGGACCGTAGCACATCCTGCTCATTAGGGAGGTAGTCAGGATCTGTAATCCGGTCTAATTGGTTCAGGTAGCTAAAGAAAGATCCATTTGCATAAATGACATTACATTTTCCACAGCCAAGGCCAAGAGAGGTAAAGGGTCTTAATGTCGCACAGCTAGTTTGGAGACGAAAACAGACCTAGACTCCAAAGGATCAAGTCCAGGATTCAAGCCCGCAACCTTGTAAAAGGACAAAAGGACAAGCCCACGTGTGGTGTGCATTTAAGCACAGTCAGCTCACTTTTCCGTGGGTGGAGCTTGACTGCACGCTTATCTAGGCCCATGAATGAGATTGAGTGGTTTAAATAGGCGTCCAGAGTTCCATCAAGAGGCAGGAGTCGATTAAAAATCGGAGCCAAATGAGCCAAACGCCATGCACGGGCCTTGTTTGTACCCCGAAGCTAGCAGATCTGTGCTGTGCTGACCTGCCCAAGTCCATGAGCCGTCTGCCGAGGAGCCCTCTGGCTGCATGTCTGAGCCGGGTCTGTTCCTTTTGCTGGCTGTCCCTGGTACGCCTAATATTCTTCTCGAGCGCCACCGTCCCCAGGCATCGCTGCTTCTTTCAGCTCTTACAAGATTCCAACGGTCCAGGTTTCCCAGACATAAGAGGTGACTGAGATGCCTGTGGCGTGGGTCGAGAACTCCTTGGTGCGCACAGCGACACCTGTGCTCTGATGCTTTCCGGAAGCTTTGTGCAGCAGATTTATCCGGTATTTTGTGTCATTTGACTTCCCGAGTTCAGCTTCCATGGGTGTTGATTAGGGATCTGAGTAAAACGAGATCCTGGACAACTGGAATCATTTCTTTGTGTACCCTGATGTTGCTTATTTATCCAGTTGTGAACACTCCTGTTTTCTTCATCTTGTAATGTAAGCCATATTGCAGGTGGTAGTCTGGGCTCTTCATAAGTAAATGCTTTTCTCTGTCAGCAAGCAGGATTTTGTCACCTGCAGATCACAGGTTGTTAATGAGTTCATAAGGAAGCTCCAATCCTGAAGCTGTGTTCTTCATACAAGTATAGTCCAGTTTCTCAGATTATTTGCTCAGTATACAAATTAAACAAGTATGGTGAAAATGACAATTCTGGCATACAACGGTCCATATTTTAAGCCATTCAATATCCCTTTTTTGTGTTCAAACAATTGCCTCTTAGTCTATGTACAGGTTCTGTATGGGCACAATTAAGTGCTCTAGAATTACTGTCCTGTGAAATCTTACAACATGTTGTGGCCACACAAAGGCCTTTGCACGGTCAGGGAAACACATCTAAACATGTTTCTGATGGTTTTGCTCTCAGCTAAGATCCATCTGACATCAGCAATGATAGCCCTTATTTCACATCCTCTTCTGGATCCGGCTGCAATTTCTGA